AATCACTCCCAAGAATGTCCTCTGGCTTGTTCTGGCCTCAAATGTGGTAGCCATAGACCCAGGGGCACTGATATTCTTGCATTAAGGGTGACCAACTGCCCCCCAACTTTAACTGGGACTGGAGGGGTCCCTGGAATGCAAGTCTTTCATTTTAAAACCAGGATGAGGGGCGTCTGGGTGGCTCAGTTGGTTAAGTGTCTGACTTGTGGTTTTGGCTCAGGTCATGGTCTCATGGTTTATGGGATCCAGCCCCACATCAGGCTCTGTGCTGAGAGTGTAGAGCCTGCTTGGGATTCTCTCTCCCTCTCTCTTCCCCTCTCCTGTTGGTGCGTTCTGTTTCTGTCTCAAAACAAACAAACAACCAATAGGATGAGTGAGTCACCCTAACTCTGCCAGGCAGAGGCCTTGTGCTTCCAGGCTCTGGTTCGCATGACATTTCCAGAACATTTTCATGGACTACAACTAGATGGGTGACATGGTTTCACAGATTAAGGAGAAAAAGAGTGACGTTCTTTTTAATGCTCTTTTATTTTTGTGCTAGCTAATGTCAGGATCACTAGGAAAGACGATTCTAGCTTCTTCAGCCTTCCGTTTCCAGTTGGGGGCCTCCCCAGGGTAGGGAGCTGTGAAGGCAAATAGGGACTTCTGCTTGGGAGTAAATGGTGGTCAGTGAGAAACAGCTTTTCTAAATGTAGGCTTTGCCTGACCCCACCAGGTGATGGACATGACTCCTCTACTTGTTTGGCTTCTTTTGCCCCAACACACCTGGCTTGGGAACCTGTTTTGGACTTTGGGGCTGCTCTTGGGTTTGGGAGCTCTTGTTCTGAGTTTGGGGTGATGTGGGCTCAGAGTTCTTAATAAGGCAAGTGCACTCAGGCTTGGGTTCTAGACAGCAGCACTTGGGCTGAACGCAGCATGGAGACTTTTTCGGGCATCATGGGGACTTTTGTGGGCAGCATGGGGACTTTTGTGGGCAGCATGGGGGCTTCTGTGGGCACCCTGGAGATTTGGGTGGGCAGCACGGGGATTTTGACTGGCTGCACAAATTGCATTTTGGCTGGTCACATATCTTCTGGAGTTTTGAACGTCCTAGGAAAAAGAGAAGAACATTCTCAGAAGGACAGCTCGCTGACTGCTTTCACTCCCTCTTCTCTGACCCCCAAGTGCATCCATCCCCAGAGTGAAAACTGAGACCAGGCTGGGAAGGCAGGGTTGGATGCCTCTTGGGCACAAGTCAACCCCTCAGTTCTATGCCTTTCCATGTGTCAGTGTGCTGGTTGCTCACCAGGTGGTCATTAACCATATGGAACTGCAAAGACCAGAACATGTAAGAAAGTTGCCTAAGGTTTCTCAGTTAATGAGGAATAGTGTGACACTTAGTAGCCTGAGTTCAAGTCTAAAGTCAGGCACTTCCCAGACATTGTCTCATGAGTGACCACAGCCAGCCTAAGAGGTCAGCATTTTTGCCCATTTTCCATATTAGGACAACTGGGTCTTGGAGGTCTACGTCAGCTGCTGTAAGTGGATCCAAGCTGGACTCCGACCCAGCTCAGAGACCATGCTTGTTTTGGTGTCAAATGTGGCACCCAGAGACCCAGGGGCATCAGGAGTCTTGCACCTTGTGTGACCTCCCATCACACCCTTCTGGAATACACCACCTTCTCCCATGTCTCAGCAGGTAGGAAGCCAGCTGCCAGGGTGGGGGGCTTCAGTGACAGGAAATGGAGAGGAGGGGTTCTGGTACTGGGCGCCTGAGATCTCAGCTGAGTCCAGGCCAGCCTCCATAACACCTGGGTCCTGGGGAAGTCGCAGAGCACTTCTTCACCTCTGGGCGCTATCTCTTGGCATAGGTGTCAGTGATAATGAAGCCAAATGAGACTTTATAGATATCCTCAGACCCAACCATTCAGGACTTGTGTAATTTCCTAGTTCTTTTAGGAGTGGGAAATTTCAAGACAATCCTGTCTTTGTGCCTCATCCACCCAACCCAGGAAATCCAAGTGCCCCTGAACAGCTCCCAAGGTCTCAGTCCTAATATGTGGCTCTATAGCAGCCCCTTCTTCTCCCACCCCCACACCCTGGTTTTTGCCCCACCTCCCCAATAGCAGGTGGATAAAAGCTGCTGTCAAGGCCCCAGAGCAGGACAGATGGTCTAGAAGTGGCCAGGAGTCAGAAGGCAGAGGGACCTGGGGAGTCATCTAGACTTGAGGCAGACAAGGAAGAAGGGGGAATGAGCATGTACCTCCAGTCAGGTACATCCCACAGGCTATACGCCCACACTGGGAGGTGCCAAGTCTGTGAGAGCCTGGCCTCCTGGGTGGAGGACGATAGGCGTGACAGCTGCTGAGGTAAAGCTGCCACTGCCGTCTGGCTTCCAGCACTCACGGATAAGCCTCTGGCCTACACGGGTTTTTTAAACTGAACCAATTCCTGCTATGGGCTTTCCACGAGGCATACACACTCATGCATCTGGTGTGTGCGTGCAGAAGCACAGGCACAAGGACAGCAGGACTTGAGGTTTTTGACAACGGCCGTGTGGCTGGACCAAGCAGAAATTTCTGTGGACTTGTTCATTAGGTTCTAACACTGGAGCATGTGTGAGCAGCTCACAGGGAGCTTGTTTCTGCTCTGGCCTCATTGCCTCCTGCCCATGGGCCTTCTCCACCTCATTCCTGCCCTGCCCTGCCCTGCTCCAAATACTCCACTTGATGCTTTGAAAGCCATATCTTTCATCTTTTTGTTCTGTTCTTTTCTATGTTCTGAGGATGGGGGAACTCCATCCCCCTAAAAATTCCCCTCACACCAAAGACTTCCTGAGGGTTACCAGAGAGGGGCAGAAAGCTGTATCATCCCCTCCTTGCCAAGACCGCTTCTGTTCACTGAAAATGTGCAGGACTCTCAAATCAGGTGGTCTTTCTGACACCTGAAGATGACCTACTTCACTGCAGACACAGGGCCTTGGTGGCTTCAGATGATAGGTGTCAGGCTGGCAGCCTCAACCCTTTTCATCTGCAAATCCACCCCAGTCTGCTCATGTGTACCAGCGGCCTCCCACTGAGCCAGGCGTGGCAGACACGTCCACCCACTGAAAACAGTAACTTTCAAAGTGACGATCTGTGTGCTGCCCCAGTCTAAGCTCTCCTCACCTCAACTTTTGGAACCAACAGAGCTTCATCTTGGAGTTCCTCTGTGGGAAAGAACCCTTGGGGTGTGCCTGAGGCACCTGTCACTGTGTTCCTTGCTGCTGAGGGACAGACTGTGGCCACTACCCTTTGGAATCCAGTATGTTATGAATCTCCTGAACTAGAGCAGCAGACGTGAAAGAAATTTGAGGAGGATCACCTTGCAAGGGCCCCCACCACTGGGTCTACACCCTTCACACTCCCAAGTCCTTGGTCATTTGGCTACAGTCTGAACTGGGTCAGCGGCAGGCTCTTACCCATGAGGGGAAAGTGACTGTGGGAGGAGGGTGTTGGCCTCAATTTGTTTGTGACTCTCTGCCTGTCTATCTCTCAGGAATTCATTCTGTCATTCAGGAAGAGTTTTCTACTTAGTTTTAAGATGACAGCTGGACCAGGAGTCCTAAGGGGTGGGAGTGGGGACAAGTGACACAGTCCCTTCTTCCAGCTCAAGAGATGCCAAAAGAAGCTGCAGTGGCAGAGACCTGTGGATGCCCTGACTTGCCTGGGAGGGAAAAGGAAGGAAGAGGCAGAGCAAGGGAGACACACAGAAAATGAACACAGAACAGTCATCAGCATAAAAGTGGGGAAAAGGAGGGGAGTAAAAGGCCACAGGAGTTTTGCTCTCTGTCTCCTCAGAGACAGAGCTTTGGGAGCTGTTTGGAGTAAAGTCTGTGTGTGTGCTTGGGCACCAGCAGCCACAGCAGGGTGTGCGTGTGCAGGGAGCCTGCTATCTATCCTCTCTGTCTACACCTGTCCCCTAGGGGCCAAACCCAAGTTCAGGATCTGAGAGGTCGAAAAAGGAGGAGGGAGCCCCTTTCTCATTTTCTGTTGCTTTTCTTTGTGAATGTTTTTGCCTCCTTTATGACTTCTTTTCTCTGCCCGTCTCTATCTCTCTCTCTCTTTCTCCTCTTCTGTGTCTATGGTTTACCTTTCTCCTCTGAAGGGCAGTGCTTCCGAATTGACAGTTTGGAGCTTCCTTTCTGGAAGGCCAGCCTGTTTATCAGGCTCTATGCTTTCAAGTCCCAGCTGGGCTATTTCTACAAAATCAATTCTTATCCTGGTTGCCAGAGGGCACCCAGAGCTCTTGGCCAGGGGTTCCCCTAGCTTCCCCCACAGACATCCCTGCTGAGCCCATCCCCTAAGGACAGTCCCTGGGAACAGGCCCTGAATGGGGGAAGGTTGCCATGTCACATATGGAGAGGAAGTGAGAAATCAGTCTTCTGCACTGCGGCATTGGGAGGGCAAGGAGTGGTCTCAGGTCCCTACCTCCTGAGCTACCTGAGCTACTGCCTTGCTGCCTGGACAACGGCAAGGCTGGCTTCTATTTGATCTCCGCCCACCAGCCCCACCCCATCCCCTCACTACATGTGAATCTTAACTTCAACATCGTCCCCTTGAGGAAAACTTCCCTAGCCCAAAGGGGTGATGCCGCCATGTAACTTCCTGGGGGGGTCCCTTCACTTCTTGTTACATTCTCACACACTTGTGGTTTCCCTCATTATCTGACTTTTCTAGTCTGTTTGCTTCCTGAGCACAGATATCTGTGCTTCCTGCTTAGCACAATGAATGACATGATGTTGGTTTCAACAAGTGAGAAATGACATGAAGAGAGGACCCAAAGAAACAAACTTTCTCTGGGTTACCTGTTTTGGCTACTTCTCTTCAGTTTCTTCTCAATTTATGATGGTCATTTTTGACCCCTCAGAAAAACAGTCTTCTCTGGACTGGTTCCAGCAGATATGACCTGCTCTCAGCAACCTAGTGAGTCCATGACTGTGAGATGCCAAATGGTTTCTCTTCCCTCCTAGATTCTGAGGTTCAAAGCCTCTGTGACATAGTCATTCTTCCCCCAAGATTCTGTGACTGTGACTGATCCACCAGCATGCCCTGCTGGTGGGACTGCTCAAATCCTCTTGTGTTTTTCTCTCCTGAAGGACAAAGGGAGGTCTGTAGTTAATCTAAAATCATTCAATCACCTAAAAAGGAAAACTAAAGGTCACATTTGTATAAACTGGCCACTATCTGCCAGGCTCTGTCCTAAACATGAAGTGTGTAAGTTCAATAAGATATAGTTCACATGCCCAATGCTCTTCCAATTCAGTATAGAGACAAAAAAAGTGTCAGTCCTATACCATAAGAATGATGTGAAGGTAAGCCCTGAGTGTCACAGGAACACATGGGGCCAGGCTTGGGATAGGGAATGCTTTCTGGAAAGAGTATGTTTTGAAGTGGGGCATGGAGGTACATGTGAAAGGGTGTTTAGACTCAGGTGCACCAGCACTGATGAACTGTGGGAGGAGCCTAGTGTGGCTGGACAGCCTGGGGAGAAAGGAGAAGAGGTCCAGTAAGCCACAAAAACGGGTACAGGCTGTGTTGATGACGGTCTGTACACCATGAGAGCTTAGGCTTTATCCTGGGGGTCTGGGGAGACTTTGAGGGTCTTTTTTTAATGTTTATTTATTTTTGAGAGACAGAGAGAATGAGCAGAAGAGGGGCAGAGAGAGAGACAGAGGATCCTAGACTAGCTCAGCAGGCTCAGCAGGTTCAGCGGTCTCAGCGATGACAGCACAGAGCCCAATGCGGGGCTGGAACTCATAAACTGTGAGGTCATGACCTGAGTTGAAGTTGGACACTTCGCCTACTGAGCAGCCCTGGGGCCCCCAGTCTTCAAGGGGTTTTAAACAGGAGAATCAAGGGCAACACAGAATCAAGGAGTCCGTGGGGGGCAAGGACTCCCATTTTATCATTTTGATATTCCTCTCATCTAGCTCAGCACAAACACACACATGCACATCCAAGAGCCCTTTGTGCTGGCTCAGACTCTCTTCCCTGTGGTGTCTTCTTGACTAACACCCTCACCTCCTCTAAGTCCTCGCTTGTATGTCACTTTCCAAATGATGTGTTATACCGTGATCTTTCCATTTAAAATTACAGTCAGCCACCGTTTCCCTCACTCCAGTCACCTTTATATGGTTCTGTTTTCTTTCCCACAGGAGCACTTTTCAAGTACATGCAATATACTATGCATATGATGCACTATACATACATTATACTATACACACATACAATATTTCCTGGCCATTTTTATGTTTATTGTACACGTGTGTATAGTATTTTAAAGTTGTTTTATTGAACTATAGCATGCATACATTGAGAGTCTGCACGAACACCACCCAGTCAAGAAACAGAGCATTACTTCCTGTACAGACTCTGCGTCACACAATTCCAGGAACTGAATTAGCAAGGGTAGAGCCGGCGAAGGCTGAAATATCACTGACAGGTGGAGCAGAGAGGCTCTGTGGTAGAGCTTTCTCTGAGATTGCTGTGGACAGCGGCCACAAAGGGGAGTGCTTTTGCTGGGTTCACAGGCTCCCACCAGAGATGGCCAGTTGTCCCAATATCTGCCTCTTCTTTGTCCATCACGCTGAATACTGTTCATCTCAGATACTTCTTGGGCCTTGACAGGCTAAGCTGAGCCACATGTGTCATAGTCCTCTCTCACAGGCCTTAGATTGGGGAATGTGTGTTTTCCAGGGAGCAGACCTTTCAGGGTAAGGACTCAATCATCTCCCTCACAAGTGTTTGTGCTTCTGCTGAGGGGTCTTTGGATTTATTATGGGCAATGGCCATATTTGATACCTTGTATAAGACTGAATTGAAACACAGCTAGTGAACTTTTTCTTTGTATAGAACTATAAGCAAAAAGGAATGTGCTTGCTATGCAAAAAATCTTTTAGGCAAATCCCCTGGCTTCTCTTTCCACCCATCCCAATTGCTGTCTCTAAGCCATGTATACATTCTGGAACCACCCTGGGTCCATTTAGGAAATTCCTTGCCTTGGGGGTCAGTGGCACCAAGATCAGAACAGGTTCAGGGCCATTTCTGAACACTCTGAACATTCTGAACAGTATCCTGAACAGTCTGTGTACAACATGCATCAGCTTGCTGTGGTGTGTAGCAGGCCAGGATGGCATGATCAAGGGATTCCTCCTAAGTCCCACTGTATGAGTGGAAGCAAAACTAAAGCTGCAGCCTTGAACTCAAGCCCTTCTCTGTCCCCTGCTGAGATCTGGAAAGACCTCCTGTTATGATTCTGCTTTCAGGGAGTAGAAGTTTCACATCCTTTTCACAACCTCACTCTGACACTTTAGGTCCAAACTGCAATTAGAAATCAGAAAAACTACTCCTGAATGTAACCGTGGTTGCCCCTCTCCCCTTCCCCCCATAATGCCTCACCATTAGCAAGAATTCAGGAGGCCTTCAGGGTCATGACACAGTGTGAGAATGCCCAAGTAATTTGTGTCCATACACAGCTGTGCAAAGTCCAGTTTAAGGCTCAGCTTTCCTGCCCCTGATGGAAAACACAGCCATCCTTATAATCCTGAAATGTGAACGGCATTTCCTCCTGAGTTGATTTACTGTCATATGAATTACAGTTACTGTCCCCAGTGAATAATCCTTCCAGGACAAAGATGTAGTCCATTTGTCAGAGAAACAAAAGTCACTGTGGCACAGTGAGTGCACGTGTGGAGTGTGTATGCATATGAGTGTGTGAGTGTGCATATGAGCGTGTGGGCGTAGGTGTGGGTGTCTGTGAGAGCACTGTGAGTGCACGTGTGTGAGTGTGTGTGTATGAGTGTGTGAGTGTGAGTGTGTGGGTGTAGGTGTGAATGTCTGCGAGAGACAGAGAAAGCATGCATGCCAGTATGCCTGTTGTCCATTTATTACCTTTCAGCTCCAAGTGCACCCTTTAGTAGAAGATCTGTGATAAAGAACGCAGTCCTCTTGAGCATGCCTCCTCTGAAGTGAGCAGATGGTAAATCTTTTCCGTAGAGGGCACTGGAGAGACACTACAAGGGGGAGAAGCTTCCTGCAGATTCCCTTTCAGAGGACACGCAGGCAGATACAGGTGTGTGTGAAGACATCTGACGGCACCTGCCCAGCCATGGACCCAGAATAGGATCCTCTGCCACCTTGCAGCTTCTGCATGAGGGTGACCTTTCCACAGGCCTCTTAACCCTGAAACCAAAGTTCCCACAGGGTTGGACTATGCACAGGCTCCTATGTGAGGGTGGGGTGGGGGTTGTCCATAAAGCTGGTGCTCCCCTACTGGGCATCCCTGCTGCTGGTTGCTCTGAAGGCCTTCTACCCCAATGTGGCCCATGCTCCCATCTCACACACAGGCCACTGTGGGTTCCTGATGTCCCCTCCCCGTCTCACCCTGCACCTGAGAAGGTGGCCTCTGTTCCAGCAACTTCAGACCAGCTCCTGTTTGGCTAGACCAGACAACTCCTGTGCTGGTTGATGGCTGAACCACTCCTTTCCAATCGTATGGACCCCTTCCAGGTTTGTCCCTCTGTGGTACTCTCCATTAGCCTTTTCCTTGTAGTTACCTTTTCTTTTATTATTATTAATAATTCTTATATTGAATCTCCTTTGTCTAACCTAATAGTTGGTTTCTTTCCCATGATTGCATCCCCTGCTGCAGTCAACTAACCTGGACTTAAACCTCACCTCTATAATTTACCAGCTCTGTGACCTGGAACAAATTGCTTAACCTCAAGTTTCTGTACAGTTAAATGAAGAGAGACAGTACTCTTTCATAAAGAGTTGTTGTGAGGGCTGCATAACATAGTACATGTTTAGCTTCTAGCAGAATGTCAACACAGGGTTAGCAAGTATTGCGAGACATGGCCAGTCAAGGAGACAGAAACACCGAGAGACAGAGAAGAAAAATACCAGAAAAGGAAAATAAGCCAGAAAAATGCCAGACAGAACAAAAGAGAAATGTGAACATACATACATCAAACAAAACACAAGAGATCAATGTCCTCTAATTTTTTAAAAATAACATTTTATACAGTAGTTTACAATTTAGAAACAATTTCCAAATACATTATCTCATTTAATCTTTAAACTAAACCAACCTAGTATGTGCTGTCATTAGTGATGGTGTTGTTTCCATTTTCAGATGTCTAAGACAAGGCTCAGAGACAGGGTCTGAGCCACACCACTGGCTTGTACCGGGAACTGCCTCCAGATACTGTGGTCTTTCCATCACTGCCCTCTTGTGGTCTAATAGGTACCAACACCTCATTCTTCAGGCACCACACTACCTGTTGGCACCAGGGGCAGGCAGGGGGTTTAGCTCTGAAAATTTATGCTCTGTTTCCATTTAAACGAAATGTCGTCTCAAAAAAAAAAAAAAAA